GAAGCATTAAAAATGTTACTTTATTGCACTAGTGTTAAAAGTCTTTAAGGCACTAGTGTTAAAAATGAAACATCAAAATTTGAAAGCAAACGTCAAAAAAAGTTTGTATTTTTAATTATTTACATTAATATTAATGGTAAAATTTGAACAACTGAGGAAGCTCCATCGGCCGCGTCCTCTATATTTTTCAAGGGATTGATGCAAACCTCTTTTTCTTGTGTATTTTGTTGCATTTTTAGCAAAAAGCTTACTGACCACGATAGACCATACGACAGACTTTCAACAAACTGACGAGACATTTCATTACCTGTAAAACAAGGTGCTGGTTGTTTGAATTTTTTGACAAATATCAAATTCAATAATTTTACGTAGGAAAGATGCTTCCAATTTATTATTCATTTAAAAATCCAATTTGTTACTGGTTATTGCTTTTTATTGCCGTTTGTAGAAAAAATATTGTATGATATTTGTGTTAAAAGTATTTTTAAGGCACTTATGTGAATTGCAGAATTCGCTTCGCTCATTCTGCAAACTTTCACATGCGTGCCTTAAAAATGTACTTTTAACACTTATATCATAAATAACTATTTCATCCAACAATAATGAAATTTGGACAGTTGAAATCACAATCATGTCGTACATCACTAACACTTTTGATACTGCAATCTTCAGTTACCAACAACAAATTGATATGCCGTAGCAGTTTTCGATCGGAATATCGTAATGGACCAACTACTTCATATTTCAATTTATTATTCTCGAATAATTATTGTAACCCATACGCATTGACTGATATATTATTCATTTGCTCAAACTTTTTTATGTCACTCAACTTTACTGGAAAATCCATACCTGTTAGATACAGAACTCTCGCACAGTGTGAGTAAGATGTTATCTGGGAAGCCATTCTACATTCTACACCTTTTCCAATTGTAATTCAGAAACAGTTACATGTATTTCAGAAACCGTCAAATGTAATTGAGAATAGTAAAATGTTATTCAGAATGCGTTAATTGTAATTGAGAATAGTTGAATGTAATTGATAAAGCGTCAAATGTAATTGAGAAAAGTCAAATGTTATTGAGAATGCGTTAATTGTAATTGAGAATAGTGAAATGTAATTGAGAAACCGTCAGATGTAATTGAGAATAGCTAAATGTAATTGCGAATGCGTTAATTGTATTTCAGAAAGCATCAAATGAAATTCAGAATAGATCAAATGAAATTGAGATCATGCAAGATTCGGAACTGTATAGTGTGTAAGCATTCGCAATTCGTGATTCGCATCTATAGGAACTACGCTTTAGATAAATCATTCAGTGATTGAGATGTCTGGATCAGGCGCCACAATTTTAAGGCTACCTCCTTATTCGCCAATGCTGAATCCCATCGAGAACATTTGATCCAAAATAAAAACTTATGTTAAACGTAATTTACGAGTACCAAAAGTGAATGGGCCTGGAGTAATTGAACAGTGATTGGCTTATTTAGAAGAGATAGTGGACCATGCTGAAACCACTATAGTTAATGGTGACTGTGCCCGCGCTGCGCAACATTCGACGACGTTCTATGAGGCGGCTTTAGCTATGGAACCAATGCTTATTGGACGATAGTTTTGAGAACTGTTTGTTTTTTAATTAGGATTTTATGTAACTTTCATTTTAATAATATAGGTTCTGATATCATTATTTATTATTCAACCAAAATGTTTTACGGTTTCCGATATCCCCACACAGTGCCAGCCCGAGGCTACTTTTAGTATGGAGCGAGATCTGACTTTGGCGCCCGTAGTTTAAATGTGATTCGCAAACGCGAGTATGGATTTTGACCATTATCTAATTTAATAGGTTTGTTCCAACCCGTCAAAAAAACGTCCCAGAGCGGTTTAGGAACCACTCTGTATACGAATTTCAGTTTCTATGCAAAAATTTCAGGTTTTGCACAGAATCCTGACGATAATATTACGGTTTCCTGCTGGGTTGGAACAAACAAAAGCTCAATGTCTCTATTGACTCTATTTATCTTACCAATTGAAAATTCAAAACATTTCTGTTCGTTGGTACAAAGTTCTCTTATTTACTAACATTTAGTTCACATTATTTGATGGGATCAATCAATAATCCACTTTGGTAATATCACTTATAACACTTATGGCCATTTCCACCAACTAGTTATTTTCGGGAAGCCTTAAACGATAAGTATTCCTTAGACTGACAGTTTTCCATGGAGAAATGTCAGTTTAGGAAATACTTATCGTAATAGTAGAGTTCTCGGGCCGTTCAAATTTCAAATACCTTAACGCTGACAACGCTTGACAAGTATGACAGTTCTTACGGTATAAGCGTTAGCGGAGCCCGCTATTTAACGGAACTTACCGGAAGCCTTACCGTAACGCTATGCTCTGTCAAAACTAGTTTACGCTCCATTTATGTCTGCAAAAACAGCAACTTCTAATAATTCCTCCATAAAAAACACCAAGGGAAAATTATTCAAGCTCAGGAATCTTCAGAATAAATAAAAGTTAGAAAACAAGCAAAAAAAGTGGGATTAGATTACTCAACTCAGCTGTCAAAATGTAAACAGAATAAGGGATTAGAGGATTTATGTGTCTTCGTGCTCGAGATGAACTATAAAATACCATGTAAAATACCGTATTGTTAGCGGTAGGTACCGTATTAGCGTAGCATCTGACGCACGAGAACTTTCTAGTTTGTGGAAACAGCCATTAGGGCCGGTTTATTCACCTTCTGATAAACTGTCAGGTATGCAATCTGACCGACCGATAAAAATGCAATCTCTAATTCCATTGGTTGTTTATCTGAATATAAATAAACCGGGCCTAATAGATATAAAAATCGAACAAACAAAATACGAATTTTTTGTGTGTTTGCATACTTTTGCATTAGCAAATTTATTTATGATCTCCTCATATGACAATATCTGAGCTATAACATTTTCAATGGACAGCAGGGCTAGATCTGAAAGTTTTTCTTCTGCTAGAGTTGACCGCTAAGGTAAGTTTTAATTAACTTAAGCTTACTAAAGCTCCGTTCACCTTTCGGCACTGTAACAGAGGAATGGTAACAAAAATACGGAGAGCTGTCCAGTCCAGATATAGGGAAACGTATCTTGCCAATTATTAAATGCTAACGCCTGAAGGACTGCTTTCGGGTGACTGTTATCACTATCCGGAATATCGTGATCAAATGATCGGGTAAGGGCGCCACTACACCCACGATCCGTGCGCGTCTCAAAAAAACGTCAGGACAGGTTATTCTCATACGTAAGCACAAGCTTGCTCACAAGCAGAGAAGCATGATATCGAAAAGCAGAGACAGAATTCAAAGCGAAAATATACTTTTCCCTTTTTTTGTATTACCAAGGAACGAGTCGAAGGCGCCCCCCGAGGTCTGGCGCCTGGAGCGCTCGCTCAGTTCGCCTTATGGTAGGGCCGGCCCTGTCCCCACAAATTCTCACGAATTGGTGTCACCTTGTATGTATATGAAATTTTCGCATTTTCATTATCTCAATTCCATTTGACCTATTCTGAATCTCATTTGATGCTTTCTGAATTACATTTAACGTTTTCTCAATAACATTTGACTGTTTCTCAATTACATTTGACTATTCTCAATTACAATTAACGAATTCTCAATTACATTTAACTATTCTCAATAACATTTGACGGTTTCTCAATAAAATTTGACTATTCTCAATTACAGTTAACGAATTCTGAATAACATTTAACTATTCTTAATTACATGTAACGCTTTCTCAATTACATTTGACTATTCTCAATTACAAGTGACGGTTTCTGAATTACAATTGGAAAAGGTGTAGTTGCGGGAAACAATGCTGATGTGACAGCCCAAGCAAAACAACACTGGTCCTGGTTTTTCACATTAATGATGGCACCTTTGTTCTCTATGCTTTTGGGTAGTTTGATGAAAATAAGCCACCGACGGGTCTAAACTGGTTGATGTTAACCTCCAAGTAAAGAATTTTCCTTAGAGCCCATAGATTTATGTTAATAATTTGCACAATTCCGCCCGCTTATCATTACATACCTGAATCTTTCTCCTGAAACTCTGTTGATTTTGTTTTCATTATTTCAACAAATGATTGATAAACTTCATCGGCTCCAACACATTCAACACTTTCACAATATTGTCGTTAAAAAATCGGTAAAGTTAAATGTGGTCAGTCAGTATGTTACAATCCTACTTCTAAAAGCGCTGTCCACACGTTCTACGAAATCACATAAAGGTATACCTGAATTATATCTATGTTTTGCCGTTCTCTGATGAGCTGCCATAAAATTTGCAGGTACTGTCACATCGCATACGGCACAAGTCTTCATAGATGCAGCACCAACGAATCTAGGTTTTTTTCCTCCAACCTCTTCCGGGATAAATCGTGACAAGCACGATTCCCTCTTGTGACGCAACTTACTATAACTACGGATGAATAATACACCACAAACGTAAAGCGATTGTAATTATCACGACGCGGTTCCTTTCCATAAAAATTCTCATACTGAAGATCAAACACCTCCCACCCATGGCACCCATCATTATATCTGAACAATTTAGGATCACGCGCCAACCCAAGGATGCGCACACTCAAGGTCGCACAGCAACCCAAGGCCAAGGTGGTGTGACGTCAGAACATTACTAGGTCACGCTCAGGGACGTGACGTCATAGGAGTGGGGCCAGTGGGGAATGAGGTGCAATCGGGTTTTGAACACTACTTCCTTAGTTTCGCTTGACGCACCGCGTTATATTTATATACATAACTATTGTAATCAACTGTCCTATCGGAAGGAATTGAAAGTGAAATTGTTAGCGAATATTATTGCACTGTCTAATTAAATAGACAAATTAAGTGAGTCTTTTATAAATTTGGATTTTGGAGAGAAAAATTAAATACGAGTTGTAAAGACAGGATGATTAGGACTAATTAGGAAAGCTAGTTGTGTACTTTACTTGTTCTGATTTACCTGTATTATTTGACTATCATCTGCTAGATATTCAGCCAATCCCACCACCATATTTCTCAAACTATTCATATCTTGGTACCTGGAAATCAAATCATTAAGTAGGTACAAATCCAGCAGTTAGACATTTTTAGTACCTACCTTTTTGCAATAGCTTCAAAATTGTTTATCAAAAATTGCAAAGCCACCCCAGCACCAGTTTCACTATTCGAATAAACTGACTGAAAAACTATTGGAGCGTCTTGTAATTTTATTCCTGAACTGTCTTGCAGCGTCAATGCTAAGGATCTAAAAGTATTATTAGCATAATATATTTTTCGAAATTTTATTTACAATCCAAGTACTTCTCTAGTAGGTTTTTATTCTCAGTACAACCTAATGCAGCCAGAATTTTCACTTTTTCACCTGCAAAGTCTGTGGTAGCGTAAGTGTCCCAAAGAAAGTTCCAGTTCGATGTACCGGAGCCAAACTTTAAACCAGTACAATATACAATGGATCTAAGGTTTTTGTGTGGCCTAAAATAATATGATTAACGAAAATCAATCAATCACAAAGTGAGATATTACCTGTTCCCTGAACTCTTGAAATTCGTAAACTGCCTGACGGCATTTCTAACACAATCCGAATAACCTAGTTTACAAACGGCTCCTAATAATTCCATTTGTTTTATGCTGTAAGCTTGATCGTTTTCGTTTATGGTGGTCCATGGCACTGTGCTGTAGACTTTGGATAAGTAAGGGAAAAAACGAACCTAAGGTGACATAGTTGAAAATTATCACTTACAAGTCGCTAGAATGTACTAACTAAATTAAAAGACGAATCCAGTTCATTTTATTATTAAAGCCTTACTATAACTGACTGACAGTTTTTACCTGAATTTTAATACCCAAAGCTGTAGCATGTCCGACTCTCCTCAAAATATACTCGCATCCATTCAGTGCGGTAATCCAAGGATACAGCGACACTTCTTCGGTTAAATAATCAACGAAATCGAACAAAAATGAATAGTTCAAATGATTCGCCCTGGCCAAGGCAAATACGTCATCTAAAAGCTGCGCCCTATTGAGTTGAGGTATTCCTCCGAATTCATCAGAGTGAATTGATGTAGAAATGTTCCGCCACATTTCACCGTAGTGAACTCTGTAGAAGCCTAAATTGGAAAAATAATTTAATTTTGGATCGCGTTGGGATTTGTTGGTAGGTACCTGCTGCTTGAGTATTCAATAAAATCCATTCTTCATTTTCAGACGGTAAATTAATTTCCAAGCTGCTATTCAGCAACACATACTCATTAACTGTAGTATTATCGAAATCGCTTAAATTTGATGAGAAAACATAGGACACAGGAACGTACCATTGATATTGGGTGTCCAAGCCAGAATAGAGAAATCTGCCCTAAGATTGCAATTGAATGATTATTTTCATCTTAGAAAACAAAAATATATTTTTACCTTTTGATCAATACTAATTTTGGTACCATTTCTGCTAACGTTTAACAAAGGAAATCCGGGATTTGTTTCCCAATTTATTAGTGTGTCTTTAAGGTAAGTTCTTGGTGGTAAGAGTGCTCTATTGTCCAAATTAATTTGTGCACTGATAAGGTTCCAGAGGCCTTGCGGCTCAGTTGTTCTGCTGGTGCTACATATTAATGTATAATAAAATGTTTTCAAATATTCTTTGATGGTCTTACAGAGAACTCATGAAATATTCTACTCCTTGCCGAAAGTTCTTGTAACCTGCTATTACGTCGTTGAGCATTCGGTAAAGACAAGCTCCTACAAAGCAGAGAGTTTTTTATAATTTGATAACCAGTCTTTTCACCATAAGATAGACTTTTTTTATTTGGATAACTTCGGAACTTCAGATAAAAAGCCATCAGATAAGATATACCTGAAGGCCATAAAGAGGGTAACTCAAACAAAAATTGTACCTTTCAAATGTGTCATGTGTCCCAAATTACTAGTAATCTCATCGGTAGTATTGACCCCAATTCTCAAACTTGGTGAATTTTTGAAAGAGTCCAGCTCCAAGGCTGGTTGTAAGACCCTATAAACAAACTGGTTATTTAAATCCCAATCGCTGAATGCCTAAAAGAAACTTTATTAGGTTGTTGCTGACCGAAAATAGGGTCTTACTTCATTGGTAACTAAAAACTTGAAATAATATGCAAGACCTTTGGTAAAATAAGCAAAATTCCACCATTCGAAGGTTGCGAGGTCACCAAACCACATTTGAGTGAACTCGTATGTTATCATTTCGGAGATATGTTGCTTGTCCAAGTTGCTTGAGTTTTCTTCGTCGTATAAAATATCTTGTTCTCTAAAAAAAATAACGGTTAACACTCACGACCTTCCTTTTAATAATACAAAAATCTATAAGACTTATGAAAATAGACTGGAACATCTATGATCGACTATTTTTTCAATAAAATGAATATGCAAGGTGGTATCAATTACCTTAACAAAAATTTACTAATAGGAGCCCAACGTTATCATTCCGAAGTTGATTTCCGTCATTGAAGGTTTCAAATCAACAAAATCTATGTGAAAAGTAAACGACCATCATTTTACATAGTATACAATGTAGAGAGCATCGAGTCCATAAGCTCCGCCCCCAAGCCTAGTCCAGCTTTGGTTCAGTATTAAAAATGTCTGTAGGTAATGCGGTATACAATGCAGTTAGGACGCGCGCTAAATGTGGTATAATTTGTATAGCGCGGCATTCGGCAAAAAAAGGTGAAATGGAGTGAGACAGCACGACAACGCCGAAAGTATCTAGGAATTCTAGAACCCACGATTCGCATGCAATCGTTCATTTTCATTTACTTCGCGAGTGGTGCAGAGTGAAAACAAATCAAGATGGGTGAGCAGAGTACGTTATGTAATTCTAATTTGCGGAACAGGAAAAAGGGATGCAATGCACAAATTGACATCAACATTTAAAAAATAACTAAAGCCATTATCCGACGAGACAGTTAGTTGAAAAATGGTCTGAATGCCCAAATACAGGTTTGTTATAGGTTAAATTAGTTATCCCGCGCGCGAGCCTATAATGCGATTACGTACTATACTCCATTTTGCGCACTGCTGATAACATTCTATACCGCATTACAGACATTTTCAATATTGAACTATTGAACCAAAGCTGGACTGGGCTTGGGGGCGGAGCTTATAGACTCGATGCTCTATACATGGTATTCTATGTAAAATCGCCAACGGGCGACGAGTGAGCCCACTTACAACATGTTAAACTCTCAATTCACAACATAAGTTGAGAATATTTAGTAATAACAAATCAAAATAAACAAAGATGTAGGTAATAAAATTAAATTAACTACTGAATCAATAGCAATAAGTAATAACAAATACAGTTACATGAGTGAAGTTTCGGTAGGATAGATAGGAATAGTGAAAATAGGTAAAAATATAATCTAATAATAAAGAGTAGTTTAGTAGTTATACAAAGTACAATTACCTATTAATTTCGATTGAAAATCCAAATTCAGAAGCAACGAAGCAACTACCTAAAAGTATGACGAACTTGACTGTGGAAAATGTTTAAGGGAGCAAAAAGGTCAATCTTGTGGTGCCCATTTGCGAGTCTAACTGTTCGGGAGATAAAGGTATTAGTCCATAATTAGTACGATGAGTCGGGACATGAAAACTGCCAGTTGATCTGGTAGTTCTAGGAGGGACATGAATGCTGATTTTTTGAAGAATCTCAGGAGTCGAAGCCCTTCCATGTAAAATATTATAGAAGGAAGTTTGTAAGGTCTCTCCTCTTATGACGCATAGTTATCGGGGCCCTATTTAACATAGAGAGTAGAAGGGTGTCGTTATAATTATCCAAATTTTTTTTGTTTATAGGCTATTTGCACAGCTTTATTTGTTTCAAAAATGTTTGTTCAACCAGTTGTACACCATAAAAAGGTGACCAGACGCAAGAGATGAGGACGGACCAGGGCTCAACATGAAGTTTAAAGCAGTAATATTGGTGAAATCTTAGGTTGTCCTCCTGATCAAGCCCAGTATTTGGAAAGCTTCATTTACAGCATTAATTAGGTGATTGGAAAAATGGAGATTTGTGTTCAGTGAAACACCAACGACTTTGATAATGGAAACTAGAACAAGGGTGTGTTGACCAATAAATTTAATAGGGATTTTAACACGCGAAAAGGTTATGGCTTTACATTTAGAAGGATTGAGATTCATAAAATTTCTTATGCAACAGTCTTGCAGGTTATTAAGATTGTACTGTAGTTTGTTACAGGAGATTTACTTAATTATGCAGCTTATTTTGTGGTCATCGACAAACAACAAGAAAAGACATGTGCTAAACCTTAAGCAATCGTGAATATCATTGATCAAGACATTGAAAGTGAGTGGCCCAAGAAGAGACCCCCTCTGTAGCACACCAGAGGTTACAACAATCTGCTTCCAGCGGCACAAGTAACTGTGAAACCATGAGATCCAGGACTCATCGACTCCAATCAACCAAAGCCTATGCAATAACATGGCATGAGAGACTCTATGGAATGCCTTGGAGAAGTCATTGTGAATCGTATCCACTTTAAATCCCTTCTCCAAGGCATCCAGCAGATAGTCAGTTATAATATTTATTTCCATAGATTTGCCCGGTCTGAAGCGAAACAGTTCCTTGAGTAAATTAGACTCTATGAGGTGGATCAAAAATTCATATACTAGTCTCTCAAATACTTTAGGGATTGTGCTGATGATACTAATGGGTCGGTAATTGGTTACCACAGATTTATCTCCGGATTTAAAGGTGGGCTTGAGGAAACTTTTCCACCACAACTCCGGAAAAACACCTCTACGTACTGACTGGTTGAAAATTTGGTAAAGGGGTTGGTGGTACCCCGTTCGACCAGAGCCCTTGTTAACATCAAGAGTGGATGATTTACCGTATATGTAAGTCAGATATTAGTATGATGATTCGGTATATAGATTGGATGAAGGCAAATCATGTGTAAAGATATCATGCTGGTTATTCGAGTAGACAGAAGAAACATAATCTGCAAACATATCAGCAATCTTCTCACCCGACACAAATGATCCTCTTGCAAAAATCCCACGGATATCCAAATAGTTTTTCCTTAGTCTCCTTTAAAACACATTGTTTATTGCACTTGTAGCAGCCTTGCGACATTCTAGCCTCTCATTTCGCGAAGTTATCTAATTATTACCCAAAATCACAAAAATACTCAGCGACGCCAAACAAGATATACTATCCGAACCCAATTGCCACCAAAAAGTTAATTTATAATTGGGATGATTATAGTATAGATTTCCAATTTTTAAACTTATGCAATTCGTTTGCCAACAAACTCACACAACCACCCCACCAGGGAGGTTGCAGCAGCGGTGTTGTGTGATTTTTCAAAGGCTTTCGATACGGTTAACCATGGAATACTGTTGCAGAAACTGGGTCATTATGGTGTCCTCTTGGGACTGAGTCGTGCTGGTTTACGTCTATGATTTTAAGAGAGAGATCGGTTTGTTCGGATGGATGGTGTTGATTCGGGTGCAGAGGGAATCTTGCACGGAGTGCCACAAGGTTCGGTTTTGGGATCGATTCTGTTCCTCATCTACATAATGACTTGCTCTCCCTTCAAGTATCTGCAAGACTGCGACTACAAAAGATAATCTAATCAATTCCAAGACAGTTATAGAAAACGATCTTTTGGAGACTAAGGGATGATGTGATGCCAAGGGCCGTTTTCGATTCACAACCAGGTTCGGCCTGGTTGGTTCGGATATGACACAAGTTGGTTGACAGCAACTTGACAGCTTTTGAATTTGGTCTGTCAAGAAAGACGCAATGTTTTAGGGTTATAAAGCAAACCGAAATTCAAACAATTCGAACCAACTCGCGAAGCTGGTTCGAATAAACCATGCCAGTAAAGGTGCAGCAAGAGTTCAACAGCAAACCCCATGTAAATCTCCATAAAAAAACTACCTCGGCGGTGGCTGTGATGTAGCGCGACCGGTCGATGCAGACCTTGGCGCTGGAAAGCGGGCAGGGCTTATTCTTGGAAATATTACCCCCACTCCTAGATGGTCGAAAAAGTCGCAATTTGGACCTTAGCGTTTTCTTATGGAGATTTACATGGGGTTTGCTGTTGAACTCTTGCTGCACCTTTACTCATGCCTGTCACGTCACCGGCTTGCAATCGAAAACGGTTGGTTCTAATTTGGTTGGCCTTGAAGACGAACCAAACCGAATCGAAAACAGCCAATGCTTTGCTTCAACATACAAAAAACAAATATACTGATATTTAAGGTTTAAAGTCAGGCATATAGTTTATTACAGCAACGCGAGATGTCAGTACTGTCGCCCCTGTAGTGTGCCCTAACTTGATAGTCAAAAAAAATAGAAATCTGCATTTGATTAAATTGTGTGATGGAAAGTTTTTTCTTTTTTTTGCGGAAATTCGAAGTATTATTCTGTTTTACATAAACAGGGTTGTAGTTTGGACCAACACAAATAATTTTGAACGTTCATCCGTCGGATTTTTGTTTCAACAGTGTAGCTACAGGCGTATTTCCAACTATTCTTACAGTACCGAGAAAACTACAAGTTCAAAAAATTTGAAAAAAATATATGTCGCGTAGAATTGCAATAGTAGTTCGTAATAAAAATAACGGGAAACTTCATCTATTCGTTTTGAAATAAATGGTGAAAAACCACTTTTTTGTCAGTTTTTGCGATATATCTCAAAAATGGCGAGTCAAATTTGCTTAAAAAAATTATGGATTAAAGTATATCAATAACCATAAAACATATATTTTTATACGAGCGTGCGGGAAATGGCTCTTCCCGCACGATTTGCTGTGCAGGAAGACTTTTTTCCCGCACCAGTGCGGGAAGAGATTTCTTCCCGCACTGAGTGCGGGAAGAGTTTGACATAATCATTGTGACATGGAATTGTTTGTATTGTTGATACACCTATACCTTTACCTTTAATACCTTTACCTGTTTTTATAAATACCTTTCAATACATTTTTAATTCTACTTTCTGCACAATTGCATTTTATTTAAATTAAACTTCTCGTAACATCAGCTTTAGTATGCTCGTAGAAAAAATATAGTTCCTAACTCTTGCGGGAAGAAATTTCCGGCACTCGCGCGCTTCGCACCCTCGTGTCGGAAATTTCTCTTCCCGCACTCGTTAGGAAAATAGCTATTTTTTTGGAATTTTTGAACACAAGGTTCAGAAAATGGGGGTTGACTTTAAACCTTAAGTGTGCTCTAACTGACATCAGACTACATGACGAAACATTAGAGAATAGAACCACGGT